CACTCCTCCTGCTTGTGCTCTGTCTCTCTCTGACAAATAAATAAATAAAATCTGTTGAAAAAATAAAATAAAAATAAAATGGAAAATGTTTCAAGATATAAGAAAAATAAGATCACTAAGATCCCATGAAGTACCTTAGGTTTATAAATGGTTCCAATGGTCCCATATGGTAAATTCAAGAAAGAATGAGTCTTATTCTGTTTTTGTTAAAAAGTAAATGTTTTTTTTTTTGATCTTTGGAAGATTTCTTTAAAAAGAACAAAAGTCACGAAACATCAACCTTTACAAACAGAACTGCTAAGGGAAAAAAAAAAAAAACTCAGAAACCAAAACTAGGTCCAATGGACCCTGATTGTACACTGATAGTTAAATCATATTTATAGATTTGGTTGTTTCACAAAGACTTTCAAAATGTGGCCCACTGGAAAAGTACCCCACAAAAAGACTCTTTCCTCACCTACTTGAAATCTCAGTTCTCAGACCAACATTGAACCCCAGCCACAAGAGCTGCACAGTTCTCCAACACCGTGGGTTACCAGTGGCCCCCACGGACACTAAGCAGCCCCTCGCCTGGGACATTTTCTCTTGGAGTTCATCTTGGCACACAATGAGGAAGCAAAAATGATGACCCAAGGAAAACAGAGAGGACTTCCAGAATACTATTCAGGCTTCAAAGCAAGGCACCAACAAAACTCAGGCCACAACCAGACACCCGATGTGTACTGCTTTATATTCTTTCCAGTAAATGAATTTATGGTGAGGGAGACAATGTTCCTATTCTCTTGGGGTTTTTTAAAAACTCCTTTTTATCTTTTGTGTTTCCAGTCAATCCATGAATACACTGTGACTATTAATCTATGACACAGAGGAAATGTCCAGTTCACAAAAGTGATGTGTTCTAAATCTTTGGGAGTTGTTTTGGGCACTCAGAATTTATTTTCCTTCAATAAATAACATTATAAATGATGGTGAGGTTTCCAAACCAGACCCACAAAAGCCTTAACTCACAACACTGTTGAAGCCCTGTACTTCGGTAAAAATTAGTAGAAAGCAATTTTGTTGTAGTACTAACAAACGAACCCAAATATTGAAGACATATTCTCCTTTATCCTGAAGTTTATTTAATGTAACAACCACCTCAATGAAAGAAGACAAGGGGAAAGATGGAAACTTTCTAGGGGCAGACTTCTGCTTTCAAGAATTTTGGAGGCTGATAGCAGCAGTTTGCTATTTTGTCTGCCCACATTTTCCTTCATATAGGCATGATGGGGGGGAAGCCAGGATGACGGTAGATTTGGGGCTCACACAGCAGGACAGCAAAGGATGGGGGAAGAAAAGCAAAAAGTTTAAAAGAGATTTCCTTGAGGAGGCAACTAAAGCAGTTGTTATGAGGAGATTGCATGAATTGATTTGCCAAAGAAATTGAAAAGAGGGCAGGAGACCCAATATTAGTGCCCCAGGCCCTTGAGTCAGGAAGAGTCCACTATGTGGTCAGACAGTTCCCTCTCTGACCATAAGGTGGTGCCATCAGCCCAGACAGGCAGCCCCAAGGGGGCGGGGTGTGCAGTAGGAGGAGCTCTCCACGTGGAAGCCACGTTTTCCACTCAGGCTCTGGAACTCACAGTAAGCCTGAACTAGACAGCTTGTACCAACCTACAGATCACTGCCTCCTCACCTAAGGGCTGTTCCCATCCTCCACCGCCCCACCTGCTTGTACCTGAGCAAGAACACCTCTGTCCTACAGGGCGTCGCAACCCACATCAGGATTCAAACTAATTACTTCCCATACCTCTCTTCCACCTCCTCCTTCACATCAGCCCTGGGCCTCCCACCTTTCCTAATTCCAAAGGGGAATCTAGTCTAAGAGCGTGCTGGAGTCTCATCCTTAAATACCATCACAAGGAGAGAACAAGATCTTCTATGGTGAGCACAGATTTGTCCCAAAGGCCTTGACAACAGGGCCCCAGATGCCCTCGCCAGTTATCTCCCACTTTAACACGAAACTGAGAAACCCCTATTCCTGATACAAATCCCACAGTAGCTCATCCATTCATTTACTCCTGCTGGTCCTCCCCCCTGTGGTGCCCTCTCTTTTTCCTTACCTCTACTTGTCAGTATCCTCTCCTACCTCTCAAAGTCTTAACCCAAATATCTGCCCCCCCCAAAAGAAACTACTAAGTGTTTAGCTGAATTTAATTGGTGAATCAAAGAGAAAAACGTGGGTCCTGAGCATCAACCACAGAAGCCCAGGCAGTCCTGCCTCGTTGTTCCTGCCACTGGTTGGGTCTTAAATTGAGAAGGAGGGTCCATCCAGCCAGACTCCCTGCTGAACATTGGGATAACACTAACTGGTCTGTCCTTGCTCCTCTCAAGTCCCAGTTCCCATCTAGGGTGGACTCAGGTCTAGAGAGACATCAAAGCCACAAACTGGGTGTATGGCGCTGTGTCGGTTCTCAATGTATGTCAGCTTTATAATAATAAAATCATTACCCTCCCTTCCCCACCCCCACTCTCATAAGCCACAATCTGCCAAACGAGGCTAGAGTTCTAGAGCCAGAAGACTGAAGAGGACAGTTAGAACAAAGTCACCAGTCGCTCTCCCCTCCCAGCTCCCACCCCAGGCCCAGGGCCTGGGGTAGCTGTCCCAGGAAACTAACTGCCTACTAGTTCCACAGAATTTTCTCAGCCATGATGGGACTGAATGGGGTGGGCATGCTCTGGATGTTTGGCCCCAGCCAAGTGGCCTGGAGATGAAACCTTGAAGAATGAATACCTGTGCTTACAATGCCTCAAAATCTAGCTACTACTTTTCTCTTCCTTCTAAAGAGGCAGTTGGCTCTGGTGGGAGACAGGAATGTCCCTTGTGAGCCTGGAGCAAATAGCCTCAAGATGAAGATTTGAATAATGCAGGTCCCCTGAGGGCAGCCCCAGGACCTCAAGGCACCAGGTACTGCCTAACCAAAGGCAGTGGGTAAGTGGGAGCCTGGGAGCCTACACCTGCTTACCTGCTGTTCCAGATGCCCTCGGAGCCTTCTGCCAAGTAGACTCACAGTGTCTGCATCCAGCAAAGGTGGGCTTGCTCCTGCCCCCCTGGACCTCTACTATTTCTGTTGCTCAAAGAGCCAAGTGACCACACACCCTTTTTAATGCCAATATTGCTCATGTTCTCACCTACAAAAGAGGCTTTATGGAAAGAAAGCGGACTCCGGAAATTCAGGGGCTTATGGAGCTCCTGAGAGGCCAGAATGCTGCTGTTTGTTTGTTAGTGTTTTGTCTTTTAAGGACCTACGGGAGAGTGTTCTTCATAAAGTAATAAAGGAAGCCTAAGTTAACTATGCAAACAAAAGCAGGGTGGGAAATGCGAACCACCCATTTTAATGTACTTGTACCCCACCTCCCTCCACAAAAGATCTGAGGCTGCAAAAAGTAATTGCTATTGGAATCCTGGGCATGAGCGCTCGGTTTGTCACGGCTGCAGACTCAAACCTTCGAAGTGACCATTTACTGGGGCTCTGAAAGTCGGGCAGCGATGGTGGACTGCCCACTCCGAAGGCGCCCTCCCCACCCCCTCCTCTCAGACTCGCGACTCAGGGCCGCTCGACGCGCAGGACAGCTGTGGCCAGCGGCGGCCACCCCGGCCCCCCGCCTCCGCCTCCCCTACGCCGGAGTGCAACCAGGACCCTGGGAGGGAAGCTCCGGAAGCCCAACGGCGGCGGCCCGAGGACGACCTGGCCCCAGCGTCTCCGCACCCCCTCCCCCAACCGTGTCACATGGCGGCTCGAACGAGGCGCAGCAGTGCGTCCCGCCGCGGAGACCCAGGGCCGCGTCGCCGCGGGCAGCGGGTGATGAAACCTCCCCCGCACATTACCGCAGAGGGCGCGGGCGGGCAGCCGGGCGGGGGTGGGAGGGTGGGAGCTGGTACCCGAGCTCACCTGTTCTCTCGGAGGAGGGTGGGGACGGCGGGGGAGGGGCGAGGGCGGGCCGAGCGGGGTGCGTGCGTGCGGCGGGGAGCTCGGCCGCGGAGCTCGCGTCCCCGCCCTCCCCCAGCCGCGCTAGCCCCCGGAGCTGCGCCGTCGGACTGACGGTGCCCAGAGCAGTTCCTGTCCCCGGCCCCGGCGCAGGGGAGACGTGAGCGTGCACACGTACACACACAGCGGGGGAAGAGGCGCTCAGAGAAGCGCCCAACTTTCTCCCTGCTTCCGCGGGCCGGGGGAGAAAGCAGCCGGGGCGATCCAGCCCGGGCCGTGCTTGGGGAGGAAGCTCCAACAAGACGGAAGAGATGGAGAGAATTTCCCCGGGTTTGGTTTGAGGGTTTTATTTTTGTTTTTGTTTTTTACCCATTTCCATCGATGACTGGAGACTAAAGGGAACCCGGAGCGGGGCGGCGAGTAGCGCTTTGGGGAAATGGAAGAGTGTGTTTGGAGATGCGTAAAGTTGCCTTTCAAGCTCCGACCTCCGGGGCAAGCGATGCTCCGCGGCGGGCTGACTCAGGGCGGCCTGGGCCTCCCTGCCACCCGCCTGGAAATGATGCAAGTCCAGTCGGTCACCTGGATCCCTGCAACCCAGCCCGGAATCCATCTGGATTGGGGGGAGGGGCGAGGAACTGGCACACTAAGTGTTGCACGGCCCACCAAATCGGGGCAAAAAGAAAGAGGGAAGATGGGGCAGTTGCTCAGGCCAAGTCCTCATCTAGTGCATCTCCTATCTTAGTTCGAGAGGTTTTTTTTTTTAATGCAAAGCGTCACAAAGCCAGGAATTCCCATATGTGTTCAGTTTGCCCCCAGCGTCACTGTGCCCAGGAAACTCCAATCTGTCAAGGCTCGGGGCTGGGGAGCTCACTGGATTCCAAACGACAGAAAGAAGAAACTTTCCCAGCACGATGCGAGTGTGATGCGAGCCAGAGGCCCGGGGGGGGGGGGGGGGGGGGGGGGGCGACACTGTCCGAGCGCAAACCGTCTCCTCCCGCCTTTCTTTAGCTACAATCGGAGCTGGTATTCGCTTTTATTTTTTTTTTAAGTGCGTTCATCCATTGCCCTGATCACCCGCACACGCGTCTCCGGCCGCGCTCACACTCACACACGCACGTAAACGCGTGGCCGCCGCCAGGTCGGCAACTTTGTCGGGCGCTCCCAGCCGAGCTCCGCTTCCTCCTGTAGTAGTTGGGTGCAGGCCCCGCCTCCCAGCCGTGTTGTCAAACGGGCCGGGGTCTCGGATTGGTCCAGCCGCTGGGACAACACCTGCTCGACTCCTTCATTCAAGTGACACCAGAGCTTCCAGAGATATTTGAGGCACCATCCCTGCCATTGCCGGGCACTCGCGGCGCTGCTAACGGCCTGGTCACATGCTCTCCAGAGAGCTACGGGAGGGCGCTGGGTAACCTCTATCCGAGCTGCGGCCGCGAGGAGGAGGGAAAAGGCGAGCAAGGAGGAAGAGTGGGAGGAGGAGGGGAAGCGGCCAAGGAGGAGGAAGAGGAGGAGGGGAGCACAAAGAATCCAGGTCTCCGGGCGGGAGGTTTACACCAAGAACCATGTGTGCCGAGCGGCTGGGCCAGTTCGTGACCCTGGCTTTGGTATTGGCCACCTTCGACCCGGCGCGGGGGACCGACGCCACCAACCCACCGGAGGGTCCCCAAGACAGGGGCTCCCAACAGAAAGGCCGCCTGTCCCTGCAGAACACAGGTAAGTGCGAGCGCCCCCGCGGCGGGGAGCTGCTGGGAGACAACACGGTGCACCCACGCAGCGCGCTGCGGGCGCTTTTCCCGGAACTGAGAGCCCACCTAGGGGCCGCGCAAACTCTTGGGGTGGCGCGGGACGTGCGAAGGAAAGCTCGAGGCGAGGCGAGAGCGGTCCGCGCCAGGCTCCGCGCGCCGGGATTCCGCACGTGCTGGCAGGGTGATGAAATGGCTGGAGCAGGACTTGTTGCTGTCCTCCCCGGGGTCGAGGGTAAAAGAGACAGCGCCTGACCGGGCCAGTGCCGGCCCCAGAGTCCCCGGTCCGGTGCAAAGCTTCCCGCTCCATCCCGGCCGGCCCGCGGGAGGCAAGGAGGGTCCCCGGAGCCGGCCTGCGCCCTGTGCCCGGAGAACTTCTCTTCCCAGCCGGCCGGCTGCGACAGGACCGCTTTCCCCCTCCTCAAAAGATGCCCGACATCCAAGAACTTTGTAGGCGAGACCGATTGCATTGTGAACTTCCCCCTCCGGGGCATTGCTTTCCGGGGAGGGGCCGGGGGAGGTGGCGCAAAGCGTACCTCTGAGGTGCTGCCGCCTTCTCCCTCTCCAGGGCAGGTCAGCAGGCGCAGAAATGGTGACACGACCCGAACCGCGCGCGGCTGCTGCTCCACGGGCTCTCCGCTCACCGGCAGTCTGCCGAGCAGAGCCAGGCGTGCAGGGCACGGGGCTGGCCCTTTTCCCAGCTCCTGGGAGAGAAAGACAATCTGCCTGGAGCTCCTTCGCTCGGCGCCCCCCCCCCCCCCCCGCCCCGCCGCCGCAGCCGCCACAGCCGCCGCCGCCGCCGCCTTTATTTGGGGCCTGAAACCCAGCGGCGGCGTTGCGTGCGCTCACCGCACGAGCAGGAATGCACGAGTGCCCATTAGGGACGCCCGGAGCGAGTGAATCGCCGCCCTGCGCGCTCCTGCCCGGCGCGCCGGGGCCGCGCGTGGAATCATCCGGGAGTCTCCCACCTCCACGCGCGAGCGCCCGCACCCCTAGCCCGCGCGGGGCCCAGCTTAGGACCTGCGCCCACCCTCCCCCCCTCTCCAGTGCTTTCCCTGAGAATTGAACGTGATTCTCGGGAGTTGGTGACCTCAACAAATACACTCCCCTCATTCTCTCGGTAGATTTAATCTGAATGTGGATTGTCTCCTCGGACCCCGCCCTTCTTCCAAAATATACTTTTCTGATGTAATTTTGTGGTTGGCTTAAAATCAGTGAATTGGGTGGGTGGGGGGAGGGACGGAAGAGAGTCTCCTGCACGCGGCAGCCTGACAGTTAACTCCCCCAGTCTATCCTTTTGGAGAGATGAATTAGGGCCACATTCTGCGAAGGCAGGCAGCAAACTCCCGGGTCGCGGGAATTTCTAGGGGATTAAGTGATATCTCACACCGGATTTCTATTTAAAAGGACCCTCTAACTGCAACGATTGCGTTTCTGCAGGCTAGCCCCCATCTGACTCGATTCCTGAGCTGCTCGCAACCGCAGCTCTCCTAGCCTGGTATTTTTAATGCTGATGGTTTGGAGGCGCTGCCTTAATAGGAATTTTGTTTTGATTTTTAGGTGTTGAATCATAAAGCTGAATTGAAACTGCTTTTTGGACGCTCGCATTTGGGGGTCAGGAAGGAAATGGCTGTGATTTAGTAGCAGCGGCTTTGAGTTCCAAGTAGAGAAGGGTATTTCATTGATGAAGTACAGAAGGGAGAGAGCAAGCTAATCATTTAAAATCTTACTTGTGTCTGTGGGTTTAGAAAGCTGAAATTGTTTCTGCTTTCAAACTAAGTATTTCCACAAAGACTTGAAAAAGATGGGAAGGATGAAAAGTGGAGTGCTCAGACCTAACTTCTGATTGTGATTTTTGTAACATAGGTTTGGCTATTTTTTTACAGATACAGTATTTACAAATACTGACATTTTCATAAGTAGATTAAATGATGACATTTTCTTGCCCTAGCCTTTTAGATCCTGAAATAGTCATTTCTAACTTTATCTTCTTCAGTATTCTCTTAGTCATTACTAACTTTTATTGCAGCCGGCCCCTCTGCATTCCCCAGCGTGGCTGAGAATTTTGTATATATTTGTATGTAATTCTCATTTTAGCGGAAATCCAACACTGTTTGGTCAACGCAGGCGATGTGGGGTGTGGTGTGTTTGAATGTTTCGAGAACAACTCTTGTGAGATTCGAGGCTTACATGGGATTTGCATGACTTTTCTGCACAACGCTGGAAAATTTGATGCCCAGGTAAAAACCACATAGAGCACAAAATGTTCTAGGTTGGCGTTGCATGATTGAAATGTTCATTGGAAGGACTTGTGAACAGGTTTCCTTAGCTGATCTTTATGGTGTATTTTAGCATTTGCAAGAGTCATTCTTGGTGCACAGCAGGATGCCAGTCTCTCCCCACTCCACTCATGGGGTTCTGCTTTCCAGCACTGTCATGTGGTGAAATCCTTCTCCACTCTTAAGCTGTGTCTACACAGGCAGAGTGGGATGGAGTGCAAGTTGAACAATCATGTAAGGATTCTTAGCAGAGAACACAAAAGGCATAACAAATAATAAACATCTTGTAAAGGGACACACTATGTCTGGCCACGTAGTGGCCTCTGCAAGGCCCATCACGTTACAGACAGAAGGTTTGTGGGGGGAGGACAGGGACTCCAATTATACATTCCAAGACCTGTTTTCACCTATTAGGGAAGAATAAATGAGACAAAAACTTCATAGAAACTCATCATCTCCAGTGGGTATGTGAGCAGGCAACACGGATAATTCAGGGCCTCCAGAATAACTGACTTATTCCTCCTAAGTAGCAGACAGTCCTCTCCCAACCCAAAAACCCTGAATGAGTCCTGCTCGACAGAGTCCTCTAACAACCTGACCCACTCTAGCTTTCCCAGAGTCAGCAGGGTGAAAAAAGCCTAGCTGTTGCTTGGGGCAGGGCACAAACCCAACAAGCCACCCTCTGGTTCCAGTGCCGACCATCCAAATACATTTCAGGTGGCAAGTGGCATCAGGCTCACCTTCTTCATGTTCTCCCCAGCTCATATATGCACTACAAAGCCCCCTGTTGTTCTATCTCATCAGCTTCCTCTCCCATGTCATTGGACAGTGGGGACAACGTTTGGAGAAGGCCAACAGTTACGGTGTGACTTATGAATGCCACCCATCACCATCTACTGCCATCCTGTAGAGAGCCTGACAAAGCAATGCTTGGGAACCAGAAAGGGGTGCGACAGGGCTGGCAGCCTGTGCTGCAGAGGATGTGGGGTGGCAGGGAGGGGCAACAGAAACCAGGGGAGGAAAGAGTAGAGCGTTTGAACTCCTCAGGCTCCCCTAATAAAGCATCCCTTCTGGATTAACTGGAATTAGGAAACATAATAGGAAATCCGGAGGAAAGATGTGTATTTAAGGGTGATCCCACAGGATGTCAGGGAAGAATACCAAAACAGATTGCGGCAGCCCTCGAATAAATTAATCTTCCTTTTTCTCTCAACCAACAGGAGTATGTTCTCAAGTGAGAAGCATCCCTTTCAAGCTGGTCCCCAGCATGTGACTACTTCATAAATGGCACACCCTACCCTCCCTCCTCTCTGGCTCCCACTGGAAAGTCAGAGCAAAAGGGGCCATGGGGAGGGGTTTTTTCGGCAACCAGACACTATCTGTAGACATTTCAGTTGCTTCTAAAGGAAGAACTGAATTAAATGTGCTGGCTGGCTTCCCACTTCCAACCTAAACCCGTTTTCCGTCTCCACTCAGTTACTTCCAGGCCTGTCTAAAAACAGAGGGGTGACCTCTCCAATGACAGCTTGTTTCTATAGTAATGGGGGAATGGGGGTGCCTAGGTAGGTATCCCACAATGCCTCTCTGCCCTGAGAGGTTGATAAGGGAACTCACGCCCCAGCCTGCCTCCACACCCCCAACAGCTGTCTCCTTTCTAGGATAAGAACAATCTAATGGGCTTGCCAGAAAAGAGAACTGTGGGCCAGATGTATGCCTGGCTGCCTTAGCCACTCAGAGGCAGGGGGTGTGGGGGAGGGGCCGTCAGTTGGGCAGTTCAGACTCCAGATGCTGCCAGGCAGTGTGCCAGGCGGGCCTTTTAGAGGCAATAATCCTAACAGTTTAAAGGAGTCGAATCGTTTTCAAAAAGGAAAAGAATGCTCCTCCTTGAAGGATAGGAGGAGACATGAGTATATGGGTTGGGGGCGGTGGGAGGCCCTGAGGCACAGATAGCACCCAATCTTGATATCACTCGTGGGGTCGGAGGAGAAAGCAGTGGTGTGAGACTTGGATCAGCAGGCACCTTCTACTTGGGAAACACTCGTGCTGGGAGTTCGGGATTTACGTCTGGCCACACTCCCCTTGTGTTCCAGAAAAGTTGCCACCAAACAGCCAACCCTGGGCTGCCTGGAGGACAGAGGGCCACGGAAGCCCCAGAACAAGGGAAACTAGTAGAGCAGCTGGGGAGGAAGGAGAAAGATTGGTTAGTCTCCCAAAGAAACATCCTTTTTGGCCAAATGCCGGAGTTATCAGGTCACTCTAGATGTACCTCCTGATGGAGCATCAGCCTGCCGCCTGCATGGACGGCAGTCTGAGGCAGGACCTTGGGCTTCAGTTTTCAAACAAAAATCCTGTGTAAGGCCATATCGTGTGAATGTCTGAGCTTCTGACCAGGACTTGTCTGTTTTGCCCCCCTCTCTCTTTTCTCTCTCCTCTCTGTTCTCAGGGCAAATCATTCATCAAAGATGCCTTGAAGTGTAAGGCCCACGCTCTGCGGCACAGATTCGGCTGCATAAGCCGGAAGTGCCCCGCCATTAAGGAAATGGTATTCCAGTTACAACGGGAATGCTACCTCAAACACGATCTGTGCTCTGCCGCCCAGGAGAACACCCGGGTAATGGCGGAGATGATTCACTTCAAGGACTTACTGCTGCACGAGTGAGTGCCACCCCACAGGGGCCCTGGGAAGGAGGGACCCGCTCCTCAGGCTGGTGTTGGAGGAGTTTGAGGGGCTTGTTTTTGGAGGCCAAACTCCCGTCAAATGGGAAAGGTTGCTCTCTACCTCAGAAAGCTGTGCTGACTCCCCTGGGAGGCCCTTCCCTGCTGGCCTTCAGGAAACCTGAAAGAAATGTCCACCATTGGTTTCGAAAGCATAAGCAATAGAAACAAAATATTATACTAAGCGTGAAATGTGTAGGATTCAGAAATACGTTTTACCTTCCCCTCAGCCCAGATCCCAACAGTTCTGAGTATTCCAAGTGGCCGTGCAGGTGCCCCAACACACAGCTGGGAGCTAAGCACAGTGGCTGAGCGTTTACTAAGTGCGAGGCCTTGTGCTCAGTGCCTTATGGGAATCTGTCACCAGGTCCTCAGAGCGGCCCTGCGAGTGAGGTACCATTCTCATCTCCATTTTACAGATCAGAAAACTGAGATTCACTGAAGTAAAGGTCATACAGACAATGAGAGACAAAGCCAGGCTCGGGAGCCCACTTTTTGCCCAAGTGGGTAAATAGGAACTTGTTTATTCAAAGGCTTACAATTCAGTAATAAACCCCAGACATCTTATTCCTTAAAAAAAAAAAAAAAAAAAAAAAAAAAAAATCCCATCTGTAGGATCCTAAACTTTGCAAAGTGATAAAGCGTGTGGTACACAGTTGCTCCTAACATGAAGCATGGGCAGTAGGTCACAATGGTTCCTTCCTCAGAGTCTGAGGGCAGAAAGCAGGCCACTAGCTAAGAGGACCGATGCAAGTCACTGCCAGCTTGATGGCACCATTGGTCTTTACACAGTGACTCACTGGGCCCACCCAATCAGTCCAATTTTATGAAATCTTGCTCCTTAGTTGGTGCCATGGCCTTCCCCCAGCTATGCCACTAAGCAGGCTACTCCCCACCCCACACACACACACTGCTCAGATCACAGAGACAACAACCAGCACCTGTCACTTTCCACTGGGTTATGAGGGTCTAGGTATCCTGCCACAGCCCCAGTGCAGTGTTAGAATTTGAAGATTCGCCGTGAATCTCTGCAGGCAGCTCTTGCCAAGAGCAAAGTGATGTTGTCTTCTCCTTAGTCACACTAATGCCCCCCAAAATAGTTAACACTTTCTCAAATACCTGTAAAGAAACAGAGCAACAAGAGTTTCAACAACAATAACAATAATGATAATACCTATTATTTTGTGAGTGGGCCAGGCCCTGGGCCAGGGACTTTACCTGGATGATCTGATTTATCCCAACAGGGCTGCAAGGTAGAGATCACTAACCCCACCTGGCAGAGGAGAAAAGGGCCGCTAAGAGGCTCAAGATCTGGCTCTGAAGTTTGATCCCTACTATGCAGCTTGGGAACTGGCAATAGATATGACTGAAGCTGCTCATCAGGAATAGACATGAAACCTCCTTTCTCCTGACCTGCTCTTGCCCTACTAGACCTGCTAAAGGCTCACTGGCCCCCAGATGTAGCAGGGGTTCTTCCCTTTTCTCAATTACACCCCCATTACACAAGGAGAGTGCTGTAAAGGTCCCTTCCTTCAAGCTGCCCCTAGAAGAGGCAAATGCCCCATGGCTGGGAGATTCCCGAAGCTCCTTTGTCCTCGGTCCACTGTCATCCACTATAGATAGTTTGTTGGCCTCAAGAATGGGTGACAGGCATGAGTTTATAAGTCAGTAAGACATTCCTGGAGTGCAAGAAGACTTTGTCTTTTTCAAGATTGGAGAAAAGTCTTCTTTGGGAAAACCGAAGGTTTTGAAGGGTTTTTTGCTCTGCCTGGAATTTAAGAAGGGGTAAAGCACTGTGGCTTTTCTGGTACCTCCTCCATGGAAACATGGCCCATGGGGCCATGAGATTTTTACTTCCCGAGGGCTCCTCGCATCATTTAGAATGAACACATAGCCCTCCGCCCCAGCCCACTCTGGGAATGCACGTGACTCACCCCGGGCCTCTTTTAAGAATGCTCACTGTGCCTGCCCATAAGTCCTCTTTCCCCTCGCTAAGCCAGCAACTCCAGGCAGCGGGTCTCACCGAACCCCAGCTTCCCCTGGAGCCCCACCCCCTTCCTTCGGAAGCCATGACTATGCAGTGCATCAGCTGGAACTTCAAGCTGAGCTGGTGGCGTTGTTAACTACCCTCCCTGATTCTGGCACAAAGGATCCTATCAGTCCCCAAAGATCAAGAAGACCATTTAAGAATGTGTGGCATTGGTCACAGATAAGAAAATGAGAAAGAACCGAATTTGCTTTTCCCTTTAGAGAAGAGGAAATCGCAGTCACTCCAGAATCCACATCACCCCCACTCCTTACCCCAGTCCCTAGGCACCGCAAAACACTCATGTCTGGTTAAAGTGGCTCCGTCCAAGCTCTCCACTTCCCTCTGTTCCTGTCACCCCTTCCCGCCCCACTTTCTCCATATCAACTGCCTTGGCTACCACACACCCTGTCACTGGGTGCTGGCAGCCTCCAGGCACGTCCCCCTCCAAGTATTTTTAAAAATCCTTTAGCCTTGCTGACACCCAGTTGAGAAAGCTGGGCTTTGTCATTAGACACGGGCTGAGCTTGCAGCCTGAGAAGGCACCACGCCAGCTCAAAACACGGCTTAGATTAACACACACCCCTCCCCATGGCTCACAGCTTTCTCCTCGGGAGAGAGCGCCAAAGGCAGGAGAGAGTGTGGGCTAGTCCAGCCTTCTCGGATCCGCCTTGGGGTTCCGAGAGCTCATCTGGCAGGCAGACTGCTCTGGCAAAGGAGGCCAGCAAGCAGTCCGTGCTTTCCCAAGAGAGCCCTCCCCTTACTCTGGGGAAAGAAACTCAAAGAAGAGCATCAGGCTAGTCCCAAAAAGACAGATTCTCAGCCCCCGCGATTTGCTCATGTCATCCCAGAGCGGGGCAGGTACAAATCAGGCGCTAAAATCCTGATGCTGCCGTAGCAGATATACTCCGTGACCTTGAGCTCCCTGAGGCAGTCAGTTGCTAGTTGTCAAAGGATGGAAGGAAACAAATATGCGTGCAGCATTTCTTCTGTGTTGCCCCACAGCCACCTCTCGCAGCCCAAGGAGTGTTATCACTGTCCTTGTCACTGGTAGGGGCCTGCCTTAGAGAGTTTAAGCACCCTGTCCATCAGCCATGCACAGACTCTCTGACTCCAAAGGCATCAAGTAGGCCTTAAAAGGCAGCTTGATCTCTATCAGCCAGAACATTCCTCTTCTCTGCTCTCAGCCCAGCTCTAGGCCTTCCCAGCCCAGAAGCTTCCAAAGACTACTTTCTCCTCTCCCCCACCCTCGCCCCACCACCAGCCATCTCCATTTTTACATCTATGACATGAGGACAGTTCAACTACAACTTGAGGACTAATTCATAAAAATGGCAGTGAACTACTTCTCAAGTCCTAAAACACAATCTGCTCTTCTGCCCAGGAACAACTGCCAACTTGCAAAGAAAAGATTAAATGGGCTAACAGGCAGCCGCCCAGGTGGTCCAGGCTCACAGAGGAAAAAAAGTCTTGTTCCTTATAAATGATCTCACGTTCCAGAGTGATTTCCCGGCCCAAGGCGATGTCCCAGAGCTGCAATGCTCATGGTCAGATATGTCCAGAAAATTTGCTAGCCAAGGACTGCTAAAGAATGCTGGTTAGCCACATGAAACATTCTATACCCTCCTTGGGGATTTTAGAAGGCCAGTGAGATGTAAGAAGGGCTCAGTGAGTGGGCCATGAGAACCCATTACAGGGGAAGCCTCTTACCAGATGGGCCCATAAAGAGCAGGCACGCTGTTCCTGCCCTTGGCACACACCTCCCACCCCCATGTCGGCATGATGTGGTCATCCTTCCTCCGGCACTTTTCCCAAAGAACAACCCAGGGCAGCTGGGGGACCTGAGCAAGAACCAAGTGTGTTTATTTCACGGATTGCTGGCACTCATCCCAACACCTAGGCCCCTTGCGGCCAGCCCTCACCTCCAGTTCTAGGCAAGCCCAGACTGGAAGAATAGAGCTGCTTAGATAGCCACTCACCCTCTTCAACCTTTAGTACCAGGAAAGGGGAGAGCTCCATGGGAAGTGACCTCACAGGGTGGTGGTCTGCCTCCCACCTTTATCCACCTGTTCCAGACTCCTCCGAGTGCAGAGGGAAGTGCATCCAGCACCCTCCAAAAGCACCCTTCTTCACCATGAGCCTAAACCAGGGGCAAACACAGACATGGGGAAATGGTTTCTTGGGAGCCTCCCTTAGAGAAGACTTACCTGGGAGAGTGGCACCGAGTGCAAAGCCACCCAGCCCCAATGACGCCACATGGCAAGAGGGCAACGTGAGAACCATCGCCCCAAATATTTGACGGCTCCTCCCCTCCTGCCAAAGAGATTCCTCAGTTTGGTATTTCTGACCCTTCACCATTTGCCTTTTCTTCCACTGGCCCCCAAGACACTTCACCACTCCCCCCACTGAAACCCTCCTACCTGGCATACCCGAAACATGCCCAGAGCTCTCCTACACTCCTTTTCAACACTCACATGGCCAGCCGCCGTACCTGGCATTCTCATCCACCTTCCCCAGAGGCTCTTCCTTTTATCGTAAATACCTGCAAATTGTCACCGGCCCCTTTCCTGGTGGTAGGCTCGATCACTAGCCTCTCTCCAATGCTGGCATGGAGCCTCAGAGGTAATGGCCATCTAGTAAATAGTGGCTGAGGCCAGCGCTCTTTAGGATATGGATAAAGGCTTGAAGTAATTCTTGAAAGCTCTTTCCTAAAACTAAACCGAAGCCAGGCCTCGGCCATTTGTCTCTTGCCTGGTATCCTCACTGCCCTCTGTGTCTGGCCCATTCAGGACTGGTTCCATTCTCTCTTCGCTCTCCATTTCTAGACCATACGTGGACCTGGTGAACCTGCTGCTGACCTGCGGGGAGGAGGTGAAGGAGGCCATCACCCATAGCGTCCAGGCACAGTGTGAGCAGAACTGGGGAAGTCTGTGCTCTATCTTGAGCTTCTGCACCTCAACCATCCAGAGGCCCCCCACGATGCCCCCTGAGCGCCAGCTCCAGGCGGACAGAGCCAAGCTCTCCAGGGCACACCACGGTGAGGCAGGTCACCAGCTCTCAGAGCCCAGTAGTCGGGAGACAGGCAGAGGTGCCAAGGGTGAGCGAGGTAGCAAAAGCCACCCACACGCCCATGCCAGGGGCCGAGCAGCTGGCCACGGGGGCCAGGGAACTTCTGGAAGCAGCGAGTGGGAGGAGGAACAGTCTGAGTATTCCGATATCCGCAGGTGAAACGAAAGGCCTGGCCGGGAAATCGTTCCTCCACGCCGTCCATTTTCTTCTCTATGGACATTCCAGAACATTTGCCATTAAAGAGGGGGGATGTCACACGCAGGATTTGGTGGGGATTGCGGACTTGATGAAGGTGTGTGCTAGCGGGCCGAACAGGTGAGGCGGAGGCGGCCTAGGCCGCAGCGAGATCTCGGCTGTGCCCGGGGGGGGGGTTCCACACTTGCACATCCCGAAGTGAGCGCCACGTGGCCTCCTTGCAACTTTGTCTTCTTTCCATCCGTGGAGCCACTGGGCAGCGGCCTGCGGTTTCCTCTGCTGTGGGGGAGGTGGGCCGGGGAAGGGCGGGGGTCGGCAGGCCCGCCGGACTGGACCGGGCACTCGGTGCTGTCTTGGCAGAGGGCGGGCTGGATCCGGGTGCAGGAGGGAATGTGAAAACCGCGCTGGGAGTCAGAAGGGTGGAGAGGAGACGGGGGCTGTGTGGGTGCTTGGTGCCAAACAGAAGTTCAGTTTCTTGCATGGGACCTTGAGGTTTGGAGCTGCTGGGGACGGGGAGGGCAAGGGTTCTAAGTGTAATTTCTGAGCCATTGTTCTGTCTGGGGGACCATGTCCGAGGGAGTGGTCCCTGTGTGTTTGTATATTAACCACTGCTTCGAATCTCTATTTCACTTTTTTATTTATCCAGTTACATCTACATACCTGTCATCTAAATAAATGGCTTTCAAACAAAGCAACTGGGTCATTAAAACCAGCTCAAAGGAAAAAGAAATACAGCCCATCTTTTGGGGCTGATTTTTTTTCTCTTTTGAGTGCTCTTTTAGAAGGAATCAAAGAGCAATGAAGCCGGGCGTCTGCCTGCCTGGCGTGGGCTCGCAGCCACTCAGGGCAAACCACACCCCTGGAGGAAAATGCATGCACGAGGAGTACGTTTGACAGATTTTCCCTTAGCATTTTGTTACCCCCACCTTGACCCTCAGCCAAGATCAATAGAGCCGCATACCTGATGCCATGAGGTCAAGTCGGAAACGGGGCTTCTTGGTGTGTGGGATGGAAAGCAGGAGAAGAGAGCGAAGACGGCTGTGATTTCCAGCGGGGAAGGCTGACCTTTTACATAAATGGAGGAGGCCGCCAGGAAGCACTGAGGGACAGGATTTTCCAGATCCGGATTGGGAATGTAGCAACGAAGAAAGGAGTCCGAGTGGACAAAGGAAAGGCAGAGAGGAGGGACAGAACTAAAAAGCCAAGGCAAGGCGGGAGAGGACTGTAACAAAGGGTCAGCGGTGGGGTTCTTGTGGTTGGTCAGAATGTTCCACAGATACGTCTTTTCTTTCTTGCCTGCTGGGTTGTCACATTAAAACTTCTCCTCTCTTGCAGCCAGTACTCAAACAGGAGGCCAGTATTACAAGGAGTAGACAGGTGTTCTGGGCCAGTTCCTTCCAGAGCAGTGGTCAGCAAACTTTTTCTGTAAAAGTCCAGGTAGTAAATTACACTATTTTCCGTTGGGTGGGTCATGTGGTTTCTGTCACAAGTACTCAACTGTGCCACTGCGGCAGGAAAGCAGGAATACATAGACATGTGTCACCAACAGGCCTGGCTCCATGCCAGTAAAATTGCATTCAATAGATGCCCACCTGGATCTGGCTCTTGGGCCTGAGTTTTCTGACCCCCATTCTAGTGAGCTGGAAAAAAGTAAGCATCCTCCATTTGTATCAGCTTATAGTTTTCCCTCAAAGCAACCTGAGGTCAGAGATAAAGAAGCTAAATTTATCTACTCTAAAATAATTTGTCCCAGGGAATGCCCTTACCCAAACCCCAGCTGGTATTTATATACCCCAAACCCAATCTCATCAGTGCCAGGACATGGTGCTGGAAGGTCAGTTCCCCAGTCTTCCGTGATCCACGTTAGAAAGAAACCATTTGGGTGGGGGGTGGGGGGGACAAAATGCTGGGAGAAACACCTAGAAAGCTAGAGCTGCAGAAAGCAGAAGAGATGGTGCACTTAATCCAGCTCTGCCCTCGGGGGGAGAAGGACCGGTGTGTCAGGCTCTGCCATGGGAACCAAACGTAAACCATGGCTGTCTCATGCCATGGGCCACTGCAGCATGTTACTGTTTTACTTACATCACTCAAAAGCTGAAGCAATAACATTCTCCCGCGTTGCTGGGTCAGCTGTTCATTTGTTCGCCGGCTCCTGGGCTGGATGTGTGAAAGGCATCACTTTTATATTTTCCTCAGTGTAAATGTTTTATGTGTTCGCCTACTGATGTCCCATTTGTTGCTTCTATTGTAAATATTTGTCATTTGTATTTATTATCTCAGTGTTTTCCCCCAAGACATAAAATTGCTTACCATGTTCATTTGAACCCGTTCACTGATCTCTGTTGTGTATTTTTCATACCACTAGTGTGTTGCTCCTAAAAGTCAGGTAGACCTCATTTCATTCTGGTTCTTAATGTTCTGAAGCATACAATAGTATTTATTGCGAAGATTCTTTGGCTCAAAACGGAGTGAAGTCCAAATTCCTGTAAGAGTTGACAGAGACACTTGTACAATCTAAAATGTAAGCAAAGTAGTCATTAAAAATAGACACTCGACTTGGGCTTCATACTTCATACAAATTTACTCATGAGCCTTCCTTTAAGGAAGGATGTGGATTTCCAAATAAAGATACGCTGTTTATTTTGAGCTTTGCATTTTAACAAGATGATCTGAACACCTCTCCTTTGTATCAATAAATAGCCCTGTTATTCTGAAAGGAGAGGACCAACCTAGTACAGCAAAATGCTGACACCTGAAACCAAATAAATAGCAAACACCAGCTCAGAGCTGTAGCCATACTTAGACACACACACACACACACACACACACACAGAGAGAGAGAGAGAGAGAGAGAGAGAGAAATTTAAACTTGAACCAAGTAAAAGGCTTTGCTAGAACAACATGGAAAAACAATGCTACCAGAGCCCATTTCCTAAGGAAGAACAACCTCATCTGATCTCAGAATTGGCACCACGTGAGCTTGTTAAGTCATAATGTCTGTTTCTGTTATGGATTTAGGCAGCAGGTCCTGAACATTGTCACATGGCATTATTTTTCTCCATTCATTAATAAAGATTTTAAAGACATGGCTTTCCCTTGAGTAGTGTTATTGTCTGAGAGCGCTTTGGACACCCAGCGCATAGGGGGAATGGCTGTGTGCAAGTGAGTTTTGAGTCCTTTAAAATGCTGGGTGCTGGGCACCTGGGTGTCTCAGATGGTTAAGTGTCTGCCTTCGGCTCAGGTCATGATCCCAGGGTCCTGGGATCGAGTCCCGCATCGGGCTTCCTGCTCCTTGGGAGCCTGCTTCTCCCTCTGCTTCTCTCTCTCTCTCTCTCTGTCTCTCGTGAATAAATAAATAAAATCTTTAAAAAAAAAATTCTGGATGCTCAGTTTACAGGAAGGGAAACCAGGTGAAGATGACCATCCTGGGTTTCTCCTCCATTAGAGGCACTCTGTCCAAAACACTGCCTGAGTCACAAAGAGGAAAATGAACTCCATGCAGCCTGCCTGGAGGCGCCAGGCCCCCACCATTAGGGCTGTGCTCCAGCTCCCTCTGGTCTCACCTGTGAGTCTCCCCTGTGGCCTGGCCCCCCTTTCTTTCAGACTGAGCTTGTGGCGGATGCCACCAGCATGACAGCTCAGTGGCCTGGCACCAGCAGGGAAGCTCACTGCCTCCTCCCCAGTTCATCCTCACCACAGCAAAACAGAGCTGGAGTCCCTGGTTTCCCACGGTGTGCCCATCAAGTGCCAGGTACCCTGCTATGCATTTCACATACATCCTCTCATCCTGACTACATCCTACGATTAGTGGGTATAGTCCCCATTTTACAGGCAAAGAAACTGAGATAGGGAAAGGTAAAGCAGCTGGCCCCAAACCAAACCGTGTGGCTAGTGAACAGTGCACCCAAACCCAGATCTGTGACTCTAAGCCCACCTGCTTTCCCCCACTTCATCCTTAGAATCTCCACATTTGATTTATTCTTAATTTAAACCAATCAGTATTATTCCTATTTTACACAGGGCTTAGAGAAAGAATAATTATACTTTTATATTTATAGCACCTTCAAGGAGCTCTGCTTTAGAACAGAAAGGAAAATTGTTGCCCTCACCTTTCCTCTCCGCAAGGCTCAAATTTTGGTTCCGATAAGGGAGAGCAGGAGCATCACAGAGCCTCATCACGTTCCTGTGCACGCAGGTAATTTTTTTAAAGATTCTCAGGTGTGGTTGAGGGAAGCCTTGGGGAGAAGCTGGCTTTTGTGAATAGGCAGCCGGAGCTCTCTCTGCAAAGCCCACCCAGTCGCCGGCTCTGAGAAGCCAGGCTCCGCTGGAGCCATCACCACCGTCATCCCCCTCCTCATGACACCTGCAGTTCCTTGTGAATATCCTGTGCCCCCGCCATGTGCTTTACAGGCATTATTTCTGAACCCCATTTTGCACATGGAGAAACTGAGGCTCCAAGGCATCTTAATACGCCTTAATATGCACCTTAATATGCCTGGAGCTCGTCCAAGGCCAGCGAGCTCTAGAGGTGGCACGCTAACCCACCCCAGGGCTCACTCTGCTCAGTCTTACTTGCAGTGTCTCCCCCCCACCCCCAGGGTGTGAAAAGGTAGGTGAAACACACGACATTCAAACATGGCAGCTGGCTCCCCCCAACCCTCGGGCCGGCTCCAATCCATCAGTGCAGGAATTATTAGAGTGTGGGAGGAGGAAGGCAGAGGGGCTTCCAAGTATGCTGGTATTTAAGCAGAGTTTCCAAAGGAAGAGGGAGCTGCGTGCCCCAAAATCGGGAGACAGAAATCTGAATTTGTTCTAAAGTCAACAAAAGAGAAAGCCCCCTGCTGAGGAGGGGACAAGTCTTGGCCAGAGAACAGGTTTCATGTGAAATTATTTTTTGTGGGCGGAGAAGAGAAGAAAAGAGCAACAGAAGCCTTGGGCTAGGAGTCATGCGTTGCTGCTTGCATAAGCAGATCAGCTTTTCTCACTCCCCAAAAAGAACACACACACAAAAAGTCACTCCCCGAAGAGAATGAAAAAAAAAAAAAAAAAACCCCACAAAGCCAACCTAAGCTTATGCATGCAACGGGCCCCACCAGGATGAACCCTGACGCTTGC